TTGAAATTAAAAACATAAAAAATGCACCAAGATAACACCAAGACCAGAAAAAGTAAAAAATTAAGCTAGTAGTAATTTTCTGATGATACTGCTAAAGTTTGGTCAACTTACCTGAGCAGATGAACATCTCAGGTGGTGTTGTAAGTACAAGCTTGTCCCTCATGGGTCTTGGGTCAGCACAACGAGCAATTCCTGGCTCCACGTAATCTCCACCTACCCATTTGGCGAGCCAAGCCATTGAACAGTCGCAATAAAGTGGGTTAGCCCCAAGTGCTCTGTAACAGTCATTTTAATTAATGTAGTATCCTAAACTCATATTTTATCATTGAATTTGTTACTAGAATATCAGTTTATAATACAAACAAATGAGTACTGTACTGTCCAGTGATAACACTATAAAAATAGTGAATTATTAATATGGCTATGGTTTTTCACTGTCAGAAGTAGGTAACCTATTAGGCTTATGATGATCTCCCTGTTGGCCAACGACTGATATTCCCCAGGATGCAACCCACAACAGAAGCATCAGTTGTAAAGATATGTGCCCAAATGTCTCACCCTGCCCAGGAATGGAACTCAGGACCAATTGGTTTTGAGTTCTAACAAACACTATACTCACCAAGCTTGTGAAGACTTAAGATGGTTTCATAATTATATTACCTACAGTATATAGCATTGATTTCAATATTGTTATCTGCTCATATACTACCTGTACACACAAGATAAGTCACACAACTTCAGACTCATACATACATGTGAGTAATGGTCTTAAGATCCCGGAATGTTCCCTCTGGGATAAATGATACATCATTCCCATGCAGAGAAAGAATCCTGAGTGCCTTCAAGCCTAGAAGAGAGTCTCTCTCCATACACCCGAGCTTGTTGTACGACACAATCCTAGATAAAATAACATGCATTAAAACACACAAATTATAACTGCAGCATTTTGTAAAACCTTTACACTACATAAGATCAAATAAACAAATTTTTTTGGCTATACCTCTATTACTCCAAGTTCTGCTGGCATATAGACATGATAATCAGAGTCGAGAAGGGGTCAACATTCTGTACAGGAACACCTGGGACCTTACAAATATCCCTGTCTGGTCATACAGGTGTAAGGGCAACATTGGAGAATAATCACTCCAGTTAAAATAAAGTTGTGTTTATTACAGAAATATAAACCATGCTAAAATAAACAATTATTGTTACTAAGAAACAAAGTATTAGATACAAGAAACACTCACAAAGTCGACAGCTGGATGAGTTCTGAGAATGTCTTGTTGGAGAGAATGGTGATCTGGTTGTTGCTCAGGTCACTGCCAACAAAGCACAAAATGAAGTAAATATTAATACAGTAAGAAACTAATAATCCAAAATGTCTCCCAATTCTATAAATGATTACAATTCTCATTACATCAAGATGTGAATGCATCATCCAATAATCAGTGGAATGACAAAAAAAAAGTTCTCATGTTCTTCAGAAGAGCATACAGCTCTTAAACCTAATTATATATATTTTCTTTGGACATAAACACACTGATGTGCCACTCGCACTTCTGTGCCCCATACACCACTGCTGTGCCCCACACACCACTGCTGTGTCCCACACACCACTGCTGTGTCCCACACACCACTGCTGTGCCCCACACACCACTGCTGTGCCACTCGCACTGCTGTGCCCCACACACCACTGCTGTGCCCCATACACCACTGGTGTGCCCCACACACCACTGCTGTGCCCCACACACCACTGCTGTGCCACTCCCGCTGATATGCCCCACACACCCTGCTGAGCCACTCGCACTGCTGTGCCCCACACACCACTGCTGTGCCACTAACATTGCTGTGCCCCCCACACTACTGCTGTGCCCCACACACCACTGCTGTGCCACTCCCGCTGCTGTGCCTCACAAACCCAGCTGAGCCACTCGCACTGCTGTGCCCCACACACTGCTGCTGTGCCACTCGCACTGCTGTGGCCCACACACCACTGCTGTGCCACTCGCACTGCTGTGCCACTCGCACTGCTGTGCCCCACACACCACTGCTGTGCCCCACACACCCTGCTGAGCCACTCGCACTGCTGTGCCCCACACACCACTGCTGTGCCACTCGCACTGCTGTGCCCCACACACCACTGCTGTGCCACCACTGCTGTGCCCCACACACCACTGCTGTGCCCCACACACCCTGCTGAGCCACTCGCACTGCTGTGCCCCACACACCACTGCTGTGCCACTCGCACTGCTGTGCCCCACATCACTGCTGTGGCATACATCACTGCTGTGCCACACATCACTGCTGGGCCACTCACACTGCTGTGCCACACATACATCACTGCTGTGCCACACATCACTGCTGTGCCACCCATCACTGTTGTGTCACTCGTACTGCTACGTCACACATTCTTGCTGTGAAACACATCACTGCTGTGCCACTATCACTGTTGTTCAACTCACACTGCTGGGTTTATTCAACAATGTAATGAACAATTAAGTGTTGTTGTTATTATTATTATTAATTATTATTTAGGGACAACACCAACCTATGGAACAAAACTATCACTTGAAAAAAATATTTCCTCTCATTTTCTCCATGATACTGTACTTAAAATCAACATTCTATTCGTCTATTCTAGGAAACCTCCGAATGCTGACATAAGATGATGACAATCCCTAATAGTGGTTGAGGTTTTCAACCTTAACTACTCTTGCAACAACACTACTGTAATTACAATACATCAATAAACCAATACTTACAGTCTTTTTAAAGACTTGAGGTGCTTTAAACGTTCAGGATCTATTGCTTTTATCTCATTGACGTCCAAGTACCTGTAAGAATAAATAAGTGTTAGAACAATAAATTTAAGGTCCTGTAAGGAGAAAAAAAGTGACTAAAATTTATATGCTTAAGAAATTTATTTTCTTTTTTTTACAATACTTTGAGTGCAAAGGTACAGCTGATACTATCATGACATGATTACCTTGTTTAATTTACAAATGATGTATTGGTACTCTGCTCGTGAAAGTGGTTATCGTGAAAGTATTACCATCTACAGTATCTCAAAAACCTACTCGCTTTAAATCTTTTGTGGTCATTTTTAAAAACTTTTAGTATAAATACATGTCAATTTTGATTCAATTTTTTTTCTGACTTCACGTGAACGAATAGATGCAAATCTGCCCACTTACTGGGCAGATTTGCATCTGCCAAATTTGCAGATTTGGAATGATTTGCAAATTTGGAATGATTTGCATCATTCCAAATATGCCAAATAACTGGCATATTTGGAAATGGGTAAATTGCAAAATGTGTCCTGGTTACAAAAGCAAAATTTGAGAGAAAGTTTCAAAAACAAATCTTGATGACTTACAGCTCTGTTGTATCAGGTGGGATGCCTCTGGGTATTTGAGTGAGGTGGGCTCTAGAACAGCGGACAACTTTGCCCCGGCACTGACACTCTGGTGGACAATACACAGATCCATTGCAGTCTGCTTCATTGCTGTTTTCACCTACAGGACCAAGTTGGAGTACATTAGAAATTCAATTCTGCTACAAATATGAAAATACTGTTAATATACTAAATGGGTATAGTCCTAAAGTACAGTCTTATCATTTTGACATCCTAAGCAGGAATGATGTTTGCACTAACACAAGAATGTGAAAACAATGTGAGTACAGCAGTCTATATTGGAAAAAAACATTAAACGTTTTAGAAAAAATGAGGAATACAAATGAATCTTGCAATCTCGTACAATTACTAACCAGAGCAAGTTAGTAAATGCATCTGAACTTTTGTGATGGGAGTGTCTCTGAGTACAGCTGGAAGGTGGCAGGTTGGAGGGATTGATTCTTCTCGCTGGAGTGACCATTCAGCCAACCATGAAGCTCGACAGTCACAGTTTAAAGGATTAGATGACATATCCCTATTGAGAAGAATATAAAAGATAAGGCATTAGTTAAGGGGATTTCAATACATTCAACATTAAATTTTTGTGAAGTGTCTTCTTTCCATTGCCGTCCTGGTATGTACTTAAAATGCCATTTCTACATTTACCTGTTCAAATTTGTTGAACTTTCTTCACCTAAACAGGGGGGGGTTTAGGCTGGTTAGCAACTCTAGTTTTCCATGCATGGCCTATACAACTTACTGAACACACACTTTTGCGGCGAGTAACACTTTTCGTATAATACTATTTGACCCAACAGATAAAATGTACAGGTTCTCCAACATTTAAATTAGATGGCCATACAGCAATTTTCATGCTTAGTTTTAGATCCCACTTCAAATTTCTTTGGTCACTCAAAGTAATTATGCGAGGGTACCAGCTTCTTTAATATGTTTAAAGATGCTAATTCTGTGCATCATTTTGTGCATCATTTTATGCATCATTTTATGCATTGGATTTAATTGATTAAATCCAAGCAGAGAATAAGCATTTCAGATACTTATTCCCAATTAACACCTTGATCCTCTTATTCTTAGACATGTAATTTCTATAATATGGGAGAAACTGGAAAAGGATTCTAATTTGTACATAAACCTGTGGTACAATAGCATCCAATATATTTTTTTTTTTTTGCAAATAGGTATTGCACATCCTTGTATAACCATCCATAATGCACATTCTGATGTTCCCAGCTATATTACACATCCTAATGTATCTGTCTATATTGCACATTTTAATTTAAGCATCCAAATTTACACACAGTATATTCACTGACTTTCTACACTATTTGATGTCTATTTCTGATATTTTGATCCATCAGTGAATTCCACATTCTTTAGGAGTCAGACACATGTAGAATCCTCTATATTCATTTTAAGCAACTGAAAGCATTCTGAAGAGTCTCAAAGGATCACCTGAAACATCATCACTAAAATTCCACATGCTGGTTTGGATGACTAAAAGGGAAGCACTTTCCACTTGCTGCACTGGAAAATATTGTGGAAAGAATGAGGATTGCCCACAGCAAGTACAGTACAAAGAATGAGAACTACCTCAGCAAGCACAGAGAGAATGAGAATTGCCACAGCAAGCACAGAAAGAATGAGAACTATCCTCAGCAAAGTGCAAAAAATTAATGGAATAAACATCAAGAAAAAATAACAGATGAAAAGAACAAAGACTGAAACAATATAGAGTACTGTACAGCATACCTGTACTGGAAAAAAATGCAATGGAGAAAATGGAGTACTGTAGATATTAGGAGGTACTCTGTGTGAGTGCAGTTCAAGTACTTTATGTGTGAGAAATAGGCACCCACTTACATCTTTAACTAAGTACTCTTTGTGTTTCTCAAAGCACTAGTCAACTTACAAATTTGTAAGTGCAGGTAGATGTTCCATGATCTTCCTGGAGAGGCAGGATATGTGGTTCCCTGCTAGGTCACTGAAAAACAGTTAATATGCAGTGTTTCCATTAGCTAAACAATGCATAAAACAATGCTGTTGTAAGGGCTGTTATATAACATTTTAAATATAAAATGAACTGGCATATTCCAAGCCAAAACACCAAGTGGCTGATCTTAAAATGTACATTAGTATCAGATAATATATTTTTAATATATCATTATAGATATAGCATAAACAAAAACATGGGAATTACAAAATAGAACATAGCAGATTTATATGTTATCATTTAGTTGTTAGATAAAGCACATTCATATACTAGTTAGCATAAAGCTTTTAGGGCAGCTTTACTGACTAATCCCAACTAAACATCACAGTGTTGTTGAGGTGTTGGACCCAGTGTACAGCAAAATTAGTGGCCTGCAGAAATCTCGAGCTGAAGTACGTACGTGCAGTTTTAAAGAGGAGAGCTGCATCACATAATAAATTTCAAATACAAATCCTAATTACTGTATTTCAATAAATTGCTATATTAAATTTCGGAGCATTTTTTCTATGATAAAATATCACTAATGGAAAAAAACTTTTGACTCGAAGAGTACTGCACTGTGCTACTAAACATCAGTTATAGTAAACTTATATATATACATATATATACACATATATATGTATATATAACATATATTTTTTTTTTTTGCTCCGCAGGCTTCTTTTTATTGGTAGAGACAAGTAAAATACAGTACAGCAGTTTATAATTTAAAAACATTTAGCATTAATACTGTTTAATTTCAAGTCAGCTCTTGTTTCATTATTTCATAAAAAATTACCAATATATTTGGTTTACTCATTTTTAAGAGGCAAGTAATTGAGCTTAACAGTAGGCATGTGTAGGTAAGCACAAAGCAGCTCTGCTCCACCACAGCTAGCCCTAGTACATTTAGTTATTTATTAAGAGTAGACAGACCAGACATGGAGGTACTGTTCCACTTAGTCATTGCTTCCTAGTACTGTCCCTCCAAGGCTATTTGTATAAAATTAAAACATTAACAAATATTTTTGTAGAACTATTATTTGCTACAAATATTCTTCAGTTGCTTCCTTTGGCAAGATACTGTTGGCCCCATGGATAGGATTATTGCACAGGACCAAGGACAGGATCATTGCACAGTCAGGGCAAGCGGACATTCTATACCAGTGCAATGGTGACCTTTTCAAATGGGTATGATGGATCATAATGATGCAAGAGACATTGAAGAAGACTCAATCTAACCAAGAATGACCTATAGATAGCTTAATCAAATAACTTTAAAACCTCTCCATGCACTACTTACAGCGCCCTTGATAATCGCTCGTGGGCCAACCCAATAGCTATCTCCAATCATTAGCAAGATTCTCTCATTCCCTCCAATCAACCCATGCCTCCTCTGTGTTTAACAGGTGATTAATGCCAGGGAGAATGTCATCTAGGCTGAACCAAGGAACCCCTGTTAACATGTAGGTGCTGCCACCCGGTGTTGAGCAACATCAAGCACTGATTAAGCAACAGCGCTGCTTGGTGTTTCCTTTGAGGCAAAGTTAGAAAGGATTTGAGCTTATTTGAACAAGTCTTTTTAGGTCATCTGAAAAGAAACTTATTTTTCTCTAACGTTTCTCTCCCACCATTATGATCCAGGTTGCACTGTTGTTGACTGCATGATAGTATCCATATGACCAGCTTGCTTTAGAGAGCAGTGGAATGTCATGATCAATAGTTTTTAAATACTGTACAGTGTTGCATACTGTTACGACCCTGGGTTCTCCAGTGGACACACACACTATTATTTATAACACATACAAAATCCTGATTTTTAAATTTTAACAAAATACATTATATTCTAAAAGTTTCTAAATTCAGGAGTGGTAGCACACTTAAGTAACTGAAGGATATTCATTACAAACCTAAGACAATAACATTATTTTATTCCTTATATAAATTAAATATTTCCTTGCATCATCCTCCATTTCTTGGTCTGTCCTATTCTTAAAAGTGGTGCCTGATATTATTCAATATACAAAAATATATATATATATATATATATATATATATATATATATATATATATATATATATATATATATATATATATATATATATATATATATATATATATATATATATATATATATATATATATATATATATATATATATATAAAAAGGCACAGGCTCAAGTCAGTTAGTAATAGTTTCCCAAAAAATTACATTTCCATTTACTGAATGTTCTGAAAAAAAGCACCATGTTCTCCTAAGAACATACAGTATATAAAAGAATGGCAAGCACTACGTAAAGAAAAAGCTATATGAGTCGCCTTCCAGGCCCGCGACTTACAGCTGGGTCAGGACCCTGAGCCTTCGCACTACACTCTCAGGCATCTGTACCAGTTTGTTGTGCGACACATTGCTGTAACAAGAGACTTTGAACTTAGAGCTTTAATTACTATTACTAGATCTTGGGGTCATTGACCTTTATTTATAAAAGACTAAGGGACAGAACAATGTATCACTGGCAAATATAAACTGTTCTACTATGTATAGAAATGTTTTGTTCACCAAGATTCACTGCTGTACCAGTACTGTATCATTAATGTTGGATGGTGTAAAATGTACTATGCCTCAAATCTAACCCATCTATTTACCCAACTAAAACTAAAAAGCAAAAATATGTCAAAAATACAGTATTATAAATGGAGTGATAGTATTACTGTGTTACCAGCATCAGCTTCACTCCTCTGCATAAGCACCACTCTAAATAAGCAGCTGCAATTTCTTCATGAGTAAACAAAGCCAAGATCTTAACTACAAACTGTAGTACTCACAGATGGGTGAGTGCCCTTGCACCTCTGAAGAACTCAGGACCTAAGCTTGTAAGACGATTATGAGAAAGGTCCAAGCGGTTTAAGTCCTTCAGGCGCCGAATGCCTGAAGACCCATCCAAAGAAAACAGCTGGTTGTAGCTGAGGTCTCTGTGGGAAGAGAGAACTTATGAAATCATACTTAATATTAACACCTACCGGTAATTGCTCTCTGGGTTTATCCTTAAGTAGCTTCCCGATGCTTTGGTTCTGATGTACAAAACACTGTCAGGTCTCTGAACTTGTATAGGCCTACTGAACACAAGGGCCAGAATTCCTGGATTTTTTTTTTATTTATATATACAAGAGTTCTTAAATATTGTAAAGCCACAAGCCGGCATAGCAGTTCAGGCAGGTCCTGAAACATAATTTTCCCTGGAATATGACCCGCCAAATCATTTAACAACCAGGTACCCATTCACTGCTGGAGTGCTGGGTGAACACAGGCTACAGTTAAGGATTGGCGCCCAGTAAATCATCCCCGGCCAGGATACAAACCCAGGCCGAAGCGCCAGGCAAGTGTCTTACCACTGCAACACGGGGACTGTTTTTACAAATTTCAGCCCGTCCTCCAAACAAAGACCCAAAAGTGATTCCATTCACTCGCCAAACCCCCCAGTTTATGAATGAAAACCGGTTTACACATGACTCTCGGCTGATTTCGTTCGAACACTTCCAGAACAAGTGCTTCACTGATGAATTTTCTTCGAACCACAACCTATAAATACTTCATCCACGTACTACAAATACAAATAATCGGCAACAGACCCTTAACACCTAACCTAACCTATGTCTATATATGCACATTATGTTAATATATTATAATATTAATTTATATTTGAGAAAATTCCAGTTTTGAATGAACAGAATGTAAAAATTTAGGAATGCGTCTTTGGGGTTGACCGCTGGTTGTAATGGACTTGAGTCGAGGACGGGTTGAAAAATTTAATGCCAACAGCATTTGTCTCTCCCAGGTGGTCACCCATCCAAGTTCTAACCAAACTAAACATTGCCTAACTTCGCTGATCGGACGTGAAGCGGTGTTCTCAACGTGGTATGGCCATTGGCGACCTGGATTCATCAAGCGGTGACGCAATCTACTCATGAAACTGAAATTTGCTTTCAATCTTTGGCGGCTTTCTTTACATTTATTAAACAGTTTACCAGCATCAAAGCTTCTCAGTCAAATGTTGTTGTTATTATAAACAGCCGTCTAGTGTGTCAGAGCTCATAAACTGTTTAATAAATGTAAATGCTTGTTGAATCCTGGCCTTTACAGACGAGATGGGAGAATCGGAACCCAAGAATGACCCGTTACTGCGTAAAAGCGTCTAGAAAAGTACAGGGCGAAGCAAAACTCACTAGATACCCTGATGAAATGAGAAAGAACAGATTGTAATAATAGCACCCACATATAACACAAAACTAAGAAAGTCTCTAAAACAGTTGGTATACTCTCCAAAATCAGATATTATGTACCTAACTCTGCTCTCATCTCTCTATATTATGCACTAATCTATCCCTATCTTTATTATGGTATCTGTGCATGGGGTTCAACCACTGCTCAAGTACGTCAAGCTCAACCTTGATTGGTTGATCAATTTGCTGTACCACTGCTCAACCACTGCAAACCACCTCCAGTCCATCATCCCCCAGCAAAAATTTGCTATCAGAATAACATAATCTCACTCCACACATTCTCTTGTGTCAACTACATTCACAAAACCATGTTCTTAAATGCAAATCCTGCTCTGAAACTCTCCCTGGATAGATGTAATAGGACCCATTATCACCATACCAGAAATAAATATCTCTTTGATATCCTCAGAGTCAAACTTAATCTGTGTAAACACACTATGCAAATAAAGGGACCTAGTCTATGGAACTCACTCCCTAATGAATTGAAAAGCTGTCCAACTTTTGCATCATTCAAAACAAAACTAAAAAGTACCTAATTTCATCTTCATAGTTTTCTACCATGTTGCTTTAAAACTGCACTGTATCTAGTGCTACCCGGTAGAGCCGGTCGGCCGAGCAGATAGCACACTGGACTTGTGATCTTGTGGTCCCGGGTTCAATCCCGGGCGCCAGCGAGAAACAATGGGCAGAGTTTCTTTCACCCTATGCCCCTGTTACCTAACAGTAAACTAGGTACCTGGGTGTTAGTCAGCTGTCACGGGCTGCTTCCTGGGGGTGGAGGCCTGATCGAGGACCAGGCCGCAGGGACACTAAAGCCCCGAAATCATCTCAAGATTACCTCAAGATAACCCAATCTCCCGATCTTTATGTACCCAATCCAAACAACTTTACCATTGTGATCATTGCTGTCTTCTCATATGTGCTATCAATTTGCTGTATGGTGCCTATTAACCTTTGTTTAAATTACCAATCAAGCTGTCAATGCAATCAGGGCTGTAATATACCAATGTGCTTTAATATACCTACTAATCTCTCTCATCTCATTTTTTCTTGTAATGTATCTTATCATTTTATTAATTCTGCTAGAATTTACCTCCTTAAAATTATCTGTTAGATTAAGGACCTGGCCGAAACGCTGCGCATACTAGTGGTTTTTCAAGATTGTAAATACCATGCTATGTATTCTCACAAACCCAGTGTACCTTTTTGTATATATATAAATAAATAATGGGTTAGTGGTAGTTTGCCAAAGTCAACAAACCATGCGTTAGTATCCAAGCGTACTACCAAATGGCACTTCAGGTCACTGGAAACTTAAGTTGAGGATTCCTCTTTCAAGGAAGCTTTCTTTGTCATTTTCGGTCATGATTGAGTCTTCTGCTTTTTGTAGGTGTCTTCTGGTGGTGGAAGCTTGGTTGTCTGACCGAGGGTATGTCGTTGACCGAGGGGTGCCTGCGACCGAGGGTAAATCATATCCTCAGTTCTGTTAATAATTTAATTCACTGTGTTGGGGGACAGGAAGCCAGGTTATACATACATTCAACCCATCCTCGACTCAAGTCTATAACATCCAGCGGTCGACCCCACAGACGAATTCATAAATTTTTACATGCTGTTCATTCAAAACAGGAATTTTCTGAAATATAAATTAATATTATAATATATTAGCATATTGTGCATATATAGGCATAGGTTAGGTTAGATGTTTAGGTTCTGTTGGCGATTATTTGTATTTGTAGTACGTGGGTGAAGCATTTACAGCGTTGTGGTTCGAACAAAATTCAGCAGTGAAGCACTTGTTCCAGGAGTGGTAGAACAAAATCAGTTGTGAGTCGGTGTAAACCGTTTTCATTCATAAACAGGGTGTTTGGCGGGTGCATGGAATCACTTTTGAGTGTTTATAAGGAGGATGGGCTGATTTGTAGTATGTGGGTGAAGTATTTACAGCATTGTGGTTCGAACAAAATTTGTCAGTGAAGCAGTTGTTCCGGAAGTGTTCGAACGAAATCAGTTGCGAGTCGTGTGTAAACTTTTTTCATTCATAAATAGGGGGTTTGGTGGGTGCATGGAATCACTTTTGGGTCCTTGTTTGGAGGACAGACTGGGGTGCAGTCTTTTGGCATATAATTTCTCCCATTAGTGCTGTTAAAGTGCTAAACATTTTTGTGTGAAAAATGTTAGAATATTTATCCATTACTTCAGGTGAACATGTCTTCCGGTTCTGTTATTATTTAGTGATAGCTAACACTTACATGAACCCCGGGCATAATATCGACAGGTTCAGAATTTGAGTTTTGTTTGTTTCTCTTAATTTTTCCATACTATACTGTTTTGGTTGGAGTTTCAATCAATTCCTTTTGTTAGATCTGTGTTCATATTATGTTGAGATGAACATAGTTAGATCTATGTTAGATCATCTGTTCATCTGATATTATTTCGTTTGGCTGTTCATTGATATGCTCACATGCCTGAGCCAGTAAGCCTGGTCTCTTGGTGGTATGGCATGAAGGGTTGGGGTGTACCTTACCTAGCCTTGATTTTGGGACTCAACGTCCCCTCGGCCCGGTCCTTGAGCAGGCCTCCCTAATACAGTACTAAAGCATAATACAGTACTAAAATATAACAAATCATATAGCTAAATGAATATGTGACTGAACTCATTAATGAGGTGTTTCCGACTTACAAAGTAGTAGTGAGAGCAGGCAGGTCGTCGGGCACAGCGGTCAGGTCACGGCCTGAACAGTCCACTCGGGTTCCTTCACACCGGCACTGAGTAGGGCAGATGTCAACTTCATCACAACGACCATTATACTTCGCCCGCAATTCTTCTGTACCTTTATTAGCAAGATAGGGGAAGAATGACAATGTCATGTAGAGATAGAAACACACAATTGAGAATAAACTTTGAAGATACTGTAATTTTTGCATGTCGAGGGCTTATAATGGACAAGTCTCCAACACGGGGCTACTCTCATTCTGGTGTCTCTCTAGATCCTTATCATCACTTTGTGCTTTACAACCAAATTATGTCTATTTTTTTTACGCAACCTATGATACCATGTTTGTAAATGCCTCTGATGTATGTGTCGAAATTATTAAATTCCAAATGTTTTCTTCTTTCAAATTCCTATAGTTTTATATATAATCATATATATATATATATATTTTCAAAGACTTCACAAATACACAACTGATTAGAACTTGCGTTTCCCTGATTTTATATCTACATTTGAGTGAGGTGGGAAGGGTGATGTGGCATTACATTTGAGTAAGGTGGGAAGGATGATGTGGCATTAGAGGATATTAATAGGGTATTAAAAGTATCAACACAAGACAGAACACGAAACAATGGATATTGAATAGAAGTGTTTGTAGAAAGCCTATTGGTCCATATTTCTTGATGCTTCTATATTGGAGCGGAGTCTTGAGGTGGGTAGAATATAGTTGTGCAATAATTGGCTGTTGATTGCTGGTGTTGACTTCTTGATGTGTAGTGCCTCGCAAACGTCTAGCCGCCTGCTATCGCTGTATCTATCGATGATTTCTGTGTTGTTTACTAGGATTTCTCTGGCGATGGTTTGGTTATGGGAAGAGATTATATGTTCCTTAATGGAGCCCTGTTGTTTATGCATCGTTAAACGCCTAGAAAGAGATGTTGTTGTCTTGCCTATATACTGGGTTTTTTGGAGCTTACAGTCCCCAAGTGGGCATTTGAAGGCATAGACGACGTTAGTCTCTTTTAAAGCGTTCTGTTTCGTGTCTGGAGAGTTTCTCATGAGTAGGCTGGCCGTTTTTCTGGTTTTATAGTAAATCGTCAGTTGTATCCTCTGATTTTTGTCTGTAGGGATAACGTTTCTATTAACAATATCTTTCAGGACCCTTTCCTCTGTTTTATGAGCTGTGGAAAAGAAGTTCCTGTAAAATAGTCTAATAGGGGGTATAGGTGTTGTGTTAGTTGTCTCTTCGGAGGTTGCATGGCTTTTCACTTTCCTTCTTATGATGTCTTCGATGAAACCATTGGAGAAGCCGTTATTGACTAGAACCTGCCTTACCCTACAGAGTTCTTCGTCGACTTGCTTCCATTCTGAGCTGTGGCTGAGAGCACGGTCGACGTATGCGTTAACAACACTCCTCTTGTACCAGTCAGGGCAGTCGCTGTTGGCATTTAGGCACATTCCTATGTTTGTTTCCTTTGTGTAGACTGCAGTGTGGAAACCTCCGCCCTTTTCCATGACTGTTACATCTAGAAAAGGCAGCTTCCCATCCTTTTCCGTCTCGTAAGTGAAACGCAGCACGGAACTCTGCTCAAATGCCTCCTTCAGCTCCTGCAGATGTCTGACATCAGGTACCTGTGTAAAAATGTCGTCAACATACCTGCAGTATATGGCCGGTTTCAAGTTCATGTCGACTAAGACTTTTTGCTCGATGGTACCCATGTAGAAGTTTGCAAACAGGACACCTAGGGGAGAACCCATAGCGACCCCATCTACTTGCTTATACATGTGCCCATCCGGGCTCAAGAAGGGTGCCTCTTTAGTACAAGCTTGGAGTAGTTTCCTCAGAATACTTTCTGGCATGTCAAGAGGAGTACAGGCTGGATCACGATACACTCTGTCGGCTATCATTCCGATTGTCTCGTCCACAGGTACGTTGGTAAACAGCGATTCTACGTCCAACGAGGCTCTTATCCCTGTGGCCCGTGCGCCCCGCAGTAAGTCCACAAATTCCTTTGGAGACTTCAGGCTGAAGGCGCAAGGAACATAAGGAGTCAGCAGGCCGTTGAGTCGCTTCGCCAATCTGTACGTGGGTGTGGGTATCTGGCTAATGATTGGCCGAAGTGGGAAACCCACTTCGGCCAATCTTTAGCCAGATACCCACACCCACGTACAGATTGGCGAAGCGACTCAACGGCCTGCTGACTCCTTATGTTCCTTGCGCCTTCAGCCTGAAGTCTCCAAAGGAATTTGTGGACTTACTGCGGGGCGCACGGGCCACAGGGATAAGAGCCTCGTTGGACGTAGAATCGCTGTTTACCAACGTACCTGTGGACGAGACAATCGGAATGATAGCCGACAGAGTGTATCGTGATCCAGCCTGTACTCCTCTTGACATGCCAGAAAGTATTCTGAGGAAACTACTCCAAGCTTGTACTAAAGAGGCACCCTTCTTGAGCCCGGATGGGCACATGTATAAGCAAGTAGATGGGGTCGCTATGGGTTCTCCCCTAGGTGTCCTGTTTGCAAACTTCTACATGGGTACCATCGAGCAAAAAGTCTTAGTCGACATGAACTTGAAACCGGCCATATACTGCAGGTATGTTGACGACATTTTTACACAGGTACCTGATGTCAGACATCTGCAGGAGCTGAAGGAGGCATTTGAGCAGAGTTCCGTGCTGCGTTTCACTTACGAGACGGAAAAGGATGGGAAGCTGCCTTTTCTAGATGTAACAGTCATGGAAAAGGGCGGAGGTTTCCACACTGCAGTCTACACAAAGGAAACAAACATAGGAATGTGCCTAAATGCCAACAGCGACTGCCCTGACTGGTACAAGAGGAGTGTTGTTAACGCATACGTCGACCGTGCTCTCAGCCACAGCTCAGAATGGAAGCAAGTCGACGAAGAACTCTGTAGGGTAAGGCAGGTTCTAGTCAATAACGGCTTCTCCAATGGTTTCATCGAAGACATCATAAGAAGGAAAGTGAAAAGCCATGCAACCTCCGAAGAGACAACTAACACAACACCTATACCCCCTATTAGACTATTTTACAGGAACTTCTTTTCCACAGCTCATAAAACAGAGGAAAGGGTCCTGAAAGATATTGTTAATAGAAACGTTATCCCTACAGACAAAAATCAGAGGATACAACTGACGATTTACTATAAAACCAGAAAAACGGCCAGCCTACTCATGAGAAACTCTCCAGACACGAAACAGAACGCTTTAAAAGAGACTAACGTCGTCTATGCCTTCAAATGCCCACTTGGGGACTGTAAGCTCCAAAAAACCCAGTATATAGGCAAGACAACAACATCTCTTTCTAGGCGTTTAACGATGCATAAACAACAGGGCTCCATTAAGGAACATATAATCTCTTCCCATAACCAAACCATCGCCAGAGAAATCCTAGTAAACAACACAGAAATCATCGATAGATACAGCGATAGCAGGCGGCTAGACGTTTGCGAGGCACTACACATCAAGAAGTCAACACCAGCAATCAACAGCCAATTATTGCACAACTATATTCTACCCACCTCAAGACTCCGCTCCAATATAGAAGCATCAAGAAATATGGACCAATAGGCTTTCTACAAACACTTCTATTCAATATCCATTGTTTCGTGTTCTGTCTTGTGTTGATACTTTTAATACCCTATTAATATCCTCTAATGCCACATCATCCTTCCCACCTTACTCAAATGTAATGCCACATCACCCTTCCCACCTCACTCAAATGTAGATATAAAATCAGGGAAACGCAAGTTCTAATCAGTTATATATATATATATATATATATATATATATATATATATATATATATATATATATATATATATATATATATATATATATATATATATATATATATATATATATATATATAAATAAAATATGTGTGTGTGTGTGTGTAATTACCTAAGTGTAGTTACAGGATGAGAGCTACGCTCGTGGTGTCCCGTCTTCCCAGCACTCTTTGTCATATAACGCTTTGAAACTACTGATGGTCTTGGCCTCTACCACCTTCTCACCTAACTTGTTCCAACCGTCTACCACTCTGTTTGCGAAAGTGAATTTTCTTATATTTCTTCGGCATCTGTGTTTAGCTAGTTTATATCTATGACCTCTTGTTCTTAAAGTAAATCTTCCCTATCGATTTTATCAATTCCTGTTACTATTTTGTATGTAGTGGTCATATCACCTCTTTTTCTTCTGTCTTCCAGTTTTGGCATATTTAATGCATATTTAATGTGTACTCACCTAATTGTACTCACCTAATTGTGCTTGCGGGGGTTGAGCTTTGGCTCTTTGGTCCCGCCTCTCAACTGTCAATCAACTGGTGTACAGATTCCTGAGCCTACTGGGCTCTATCATACCTACATTTGAAACTGTGTATGGAGTCAGCCTCCACCACATCACTTCCTAGTGCATTCCATTTATTAACTACTCTGACACTGAAAAAATTCTTTCTAACGTCTCTGTGGCTCATCTGGGTACTAAGTTTCCACCTGTGTTCCCTTGTTCGTGTCCCACCCGTGCTGAAGAGTTTGTCTTTGTCCACCCTGTCAATTCCCCTGAGAATTTTGTAGGTGGTTATCATGTCTCCCCTTACTCTTCTGTTTTCCAGGGATGTGAGGTTCAGCTCCTTTAGCCTTTCCTCGTAGCTCAATCCTCTCAGTTCCGGGACGAGCCTGGTGGCATACCGCTGAATCTTCTCTAACTTTGTCTTGTGTTTAACTAGGTATGGACTCCAGGCTGGAGCTGCATACTCCAGGATTGGTCTTACATAAGTGGTATACAGGGTTCTGAAAGATTCCTTACACAAGTTTCTGAAGGCAGTTCTTATGTTGGCCAGTCTAGCATATGCCGCTGATGATATTCTTTTGATGTGGGCCTCTGGGGACAGGTTCGGTGTGATATCTGTCATGTTCACAGAAAATGGTACCATCCGTTTTCTATGTGTGGCGGAGCAGACGCCAGAGAGAGACAGAAGGTAAACAAGAGCGTACAGGACGCCCGCCAAGCTTGGTAGCTACTAGTCATGTAATCATATTAAGTATTAAAGTCAGTAACCAAGTCATGACTTTACATCAACCCTACAACCAAGACTTC